GAGAGAGAGAGAGAGAGAGAGGCGGGGGTGTCAGGGAGGATGTGGCCCCTTAGCTGCACTCGAGGTATTTCCAGGACGGCGGAAAGGCCTGGGGGCGCGGGGGGGAGGTTGGGGGAGCGGGTGGTACGATTATGCCGCGGCGCTGCGGAACAGGTCCGGCGGCGCGTCGGGGAGTGTGTGTCGGAAACACCTGCGAAATGCTTTTCTGCCGCTCTTCTGCCTCTTTGGGGGCGGAATGCGACCGTCTGTCTGGCCTGCTGGACTGGACGGCAGCAGCGGTCAAGAGGGTCAGAGACAAAACCAATGAGGACTGCGAATAATTTTTTCATCGTTGTGTAAATTTGAACTTTTTGACTGTATGTTTTCTGTGTCGTGTGTCGACTATTGGCGGTGTGCGGTGGTGTGGATGAGAGGAGGTGGGTCACGCCCATGGAGCAGGCGTGGAGCAGGCGCCGCTTGACGGCGACACTCAGGGGCACGTGCCGGGGGAGGCTAACTGCTCAACGGGCTCATCGGCGGCCATCTCACTGCCGCACACGTACCGCGACTGTACCCCCCCCCCCCTCCCCTCTCTCTCTCTCTCTCTTAGGCGCGTTTTACGGAAACCGAGCCAGGAGAGTGTTTTATATTACGGGAGCGACAAAGACGTTAAAAGTGCTGCTTTGAGCTTGGCGCGCTTTGGCGGCGGCGGCAGGGCGCTCAAGGCCCTGCAGGGATAATAACATCATTTTCACGCGCGCCGGCCGGCCGGTAATGGCTGGGCGATAATATGCAAAATTAGAGCAAGGGGAGGGAAACACGTTCCGGTCTAGTCTCGCTGGTGCCAACACTGGCGCCGTAACCCGACGCGCCGCGGCGCGCGTCTGTCCAGCCGGCGCCCTTCCTAACGCCTTCTCTTGTGTGTTGCAGCCGCAGCCGGAGCGCCAGCAGCCGTGCGTGCAGCACGCGTACGACCCCTCGAGGGACTTGTCCCCGAACCTGCCCCACCACCACCACCCGCACGGCGGCACCGACACCGCCACCCGGCTGCCCTGCGACCGCCTGGACCCCTTCAACAACAACAATAACAACAATAACAGCAGCGGCCATGACCGGCCCGCGAGTGCCATGTCGGGGGGCATGTCCACCCCGCTGATATGCGACGAGGACCACCAGGGCTGCCACCAGTGCAGCCACCACCAGGCGTCGACGGCGTCCTCGGTCGTGCCGCCGGCGTCGTCGTCGGCGTCATCGTCGTCATGCTCGTCGACGGCGTCGTCCGGGGCGCTGCTGAGGCCCAAGCAGGAGCGGCCGTGCAGCCCGGCGTCGTCGGACGTCGGCGGCGCGGGGTCCACGACGACGACGGAGCTGGAGGCGGCTGGCCCGTGCGCCGGCTGCGGGCAGCGCATCTCGGACCGCTTCTACCTGCTGGCCGTCGACAGGCGGTGGCACGCCGCCTGCCTGCAGTGCTGCTCGTGCAGGCACGCGCTCGACGGCGAGGTGACGTGCTTCTCCAGGGACGGCAACATCTACTGCAAGAAGGACTACTATAGGTGAGTGACGAGAGTGTGTGCGTGCGTCGCGCCGTCGCGCACCGGCGGGGGTGACATCGCGTGACAAGTCAATTGTGCTGTTCCACGGGGTGCCTCACGCGAGTGCGGCGCCTCGGGGCCCGCCCGCCCCCGCTGCTGGACCGCGGTACACCCCGCCACACCACACCCCGCC